TCAGATTATTTTGCTAGTGCACTAACAAACAGTTTTGGAATGGAAAATAACATACATTTCCTGCTGTCTGTAAAGCTAATGCAATACTATGTTCAATTCAACAGGAAATACTGAGTTGTGAAGCTTTTTCATTACTATTTTATGCAACGTGTAGTTAACCTGTGGAATTCATGGCCGCAGGATGTGGTGGAGACGGATAACATAGCCAGATTCAAAAAGGAACTAGATAAATTCATGGATGACAGATCTATTAATGGCTATTGCACGGAGATGTTTCCTCTAGCATCTCTAACCCAATAAATGGCAGGGGCCAGGGTGGTTACTGAATAAGGGATAGATCACTCTAGAAATATCCAGCTTTCCCCGTATAGCATCCACTTCTGCCGCTGTTGGAGACAGGATGCTGGACTGGATAGACTGTTGATCTGACTCAGGATGGCGCTTCTTATGAAGTCATATTATCCACTATCTACAAGGATACATTTCATAGCAAAAACTTTCCCTAACATGACACTCATGACACAGCCAGATTCTACCTTGTTCAGCCATGCATATTACTCCAGCAATTGCCCTGCAGAACTCAGGCTATTCTGTGGAGAGTAAAGTCCTACTTCCAAATCAGCATGCAACTATGAGAAGCTGACCCTTGCCTGCTTTACTAGGGAGAAATTAAGTGACAGTGGGTGATTCAAATTTCCAAGTATGTCCGAATGAAACAGATAATTTGTTAAGGCAAGGTTTGATAACTACTTGGAGACAAGTCATACTTGCATATTCCTAAATTAAATACCCTAATTGATTGAGAAAGAGTGTGAACTCCCAGCTCACTGTATTAGGATTTCTTCTCTGTCTGTAGGCTTCAATTACTTTAACTTTCTATTATCTAATATTTTTTGGTACTGTGATGATGGATATTGGTTACTGAATTTGATCCTGGGAACCAGGAGCTCCTGTATCCTATCTCTGGCTAAGCCACTGACTCTGACCGAGCTGCTCTATGGACCCAATCCTGCCCCCTGTGATGCCAGTGTAAGACCAAGGTACACCGTACATCTCAAAATCAAGTTGTAGTCTGTTTCTTCATCTCCGGATAAGGGAAAAATAACATCTGCTCACCACTCTCACCTAAGTGCCATGAGCATTATTTACAGTGTGCTGGAAATGCAAAGCAAGGGAAGTGTTTAATATCGTAGCGCATAATAGCTCTTCAGTGCATGTGTAAGGATATTGCTGATGGATAAAATTAAAAGGTGCAGTCCCTGCTGACCTTGTGTCCCCTGCCCTCACTTTAATCAAGGACTTACACAGGAAAGCAATTTTTGTCTAACACAGCTATGAAATACTGGATGATGTTTTATGATCCAGTTCATATATTCCTCTCTACTATTATTGATTGCTGCTTCTGGTTTATCCTGGCTAGCAGTCTGAAAAATGCAACACCGTCCTTCTTCCCTGCTCCAGTTCCACCGTTCCTGGTTCTCCGTGCATAACCTAAACTGTGTGCGCCAAGCAAATCTGGCTTGTAGCTCTACTGCCTGAGAATTAAAATGGTCTGCAGTTCTGACATGATGCAGTCTGCACACCACGAGGTTTATTCTCTATCATAACGCCACCTCTTTTCCTTAAAAAAATAACCCCACCAAAACACACAAAAACCCTATGTTCTCATTTTGAATTGAAATGCAGGAGGAAGGAATGATCATTGCCCAGGACATTACTGGCAGATCCCTGCCACTTTCTGCAGCGTGGAATACATGCAAAGCCAGTATGTTGATTATTTCTTTTCCCTAAAACCTTCATCGATAGAACAGGCTCCCATGATATCCCGAACTGTGTGTTGGCCACGGTGGAGCATGCAGGGTTGCATCCAAGGCTACTGGAAGTCAACATAAGTCAGAGGCAGACAAGGTTTTTTGGGTGAATCTGATATCTTTTATTAGACCAACTTAACTAGTTGGAAAACAATTTTTAAACAAGCTTTCAAATTCAGGCTAAGAAAGCTTGCTTAAAAATTGTTTTCCAACTAGTTAAGTTGGTCTAATAAAAGATATCAGATTCACCCAAAGAACCTTGTCTGCCTATGTCCTTAGACCAACACGGCTACAACTTACACCCCTGTAACGTAAGTCAGAGGTATTCAAACCACAATTCGGAAGTTACTTAACTATGAAAAAAGTTCTATCCCCTTTGTTCTTGTCGGTGCAAACTGCTTTTTTCCAATTAACCTTTTAACCAATAGCTTATAAAAAGAATGGCTGGGGTGTACCCGAACACCATCAGCCAGGCATTTCTTTTCCATATCTATAAAAAATTCTTTAATTTTTCTCTGCCTCAGATTCCTCCTTCCAAACAACATAGTTGGGATGGATGTACTGTTAACACATGATGATTTGTCCTGGTTTGAAAGGAGTATGCACCAAGAGCTGTACGGCCCTGTTGCACATCAGACCCATCATGGACAGCGGTGTAAATAGCAAAAGTGCACTCGCAAGACAGCCACGCTGCCTCCATGTCCCGAAGGCAATATGGTTCCCTCTAGGAAAATAAGTGAACCTAATAAGGTTTCACTCTATTTGTCAATGGGTCCCGCTGTGCAAACCCTTTTGGAGTGCATCGCTCATCAGCTCGGTCTGTAAGCACTGGCATGCAGGCCTGGAGACTGTAGAAATCTGCCTTTTGAAATGAAGAGAGGAACACAAATGTACCAGTGCCTCTTTCAAACTGCAGGGAGGTAAGTGACCCCCCGACAACTTTTAATATGGAGAGAAGGAAACATGTTGGCCAGCTAGGCTCTCTCCTATGTAGCTTCAATAGGACCAGCTGGGAAGGACTAGACACTGCAGAAGAAATAAATAAATAAAAAACAGTACTTTGAACTATATTTATCAATGTTTAACCTGCACGATGGGGTTGGAGTGCTATTGCTTCGTTTGGCATTTAGCTTAGGCTGCCTCTGCTTCTTTCCCAGCCCTGAAGAAGAGCATTTTGCCTCGAAGCTTGCCAATTGATATTTAGACGGTCCAAGAAAAGACATCAGAACAACACGTGCTACCTTGCACTACAGCATGCATGAAGAGACACCCAGTATTGTAATCAACTTCTAATGCATCTATGATGTCTTTAAATCTGACCATATAGATATTAATATAAGGTGCTCTAGAGCTGAGGATCACTGGATTACATAGGGTGCATCTAAACGGCTTAAGTTCAAGGAGGAAGTCTAACCCTATCTATCACTTCTATCTGTGGTTTTTATTTTCTTGTGCTCATTTCAGTTTCCTGTTTGAAAACGGATGATTTAAATAGCCGTCATGTAAATCTCCGGGGAAACAATGTCTTCCTCTCAAAAAAATATTTACATATTGACATCACGCTCAATCTAAGTCTCCTTAAATGAGCCCATTAATAGAGCGTTCCCAGTCCTTATCCCTCTTTACATAATAAGTAGTAAAAAATAAGTAGAAAATTTCAAGAGCAGCAGCATCAATAGTCTTCCTTCCTAACCACCCCTTTTCATTCTCTTGCATGGGACTGCCTGGTGTACCTGAGCAAATATTTTTGCTTCTAGTCCTTCATTCTCACCTCTTTACTCATGGCTTTCCATGAGATCAAGGATGAAAGGTTTAGGAGATCACTCAGTCATTAAGGGACTCCTTACCAGCTTGCCTGTACAGCTGTTTTTGTTAGCCTGGAAACAAAGGGTAAAAGGGACCAAATCCTCAGCTGCTGTAAGTCATCAAGTCATGGGCTAAGGATGTGGCCCAAAGGTTTACAACCAAAAAGCTGTGGCATTTAATTTTTCGTTCAGAAAATGAAGGTATTCATTGTTAAAATGCAAAGCAGTTATATAAACAGACCTAGTCTCACGGGCTTAATCTACTCAGGTAGATTGTTAAAGCTACTAGGTGTTAAAGCTAACCTGCTTTGGCAAATGTTTCACTTGGAAATAACAGAAGCATTTTATTTATCTTTAATAAACCAATACTTGCCACAGCTCAACATGGGAGGAGGAAAAAAAAGCCTCGGTAAAGAAACAGTAGGTGAACACATGGCCGGGGCTAAGGCATGTCATATATTGATTTATTAAAATTGGGGTTTTTTGCAAAAATCTACGTGGTCTAATAAAAGATATCAACTATACCACGAGTCCTGATACCTGTTGCCTCCAGACCAATACGGCTACAACCTGGATACCTGTTATATTGACTTCAGCAATTTTTTCTCCCTGCACCTTTAGGCACTAAGTTGTAAAGACGTATGACTGTTTAACTATGTACTGGCACGCTCCCATTATGTAAAATTAAGCACACAAGACTCTAGGCCTTCACATACAAACAGTTTGTTTTAAATAATGGCTAGAAGTCACGCGTGGAAGTGGCAACACAGCATCGCTCCAGTGTCAGCTCTTCAGCTCTATTAAGAAATAAAACATGGTTGTTTAAATTTCCCATCCGTGTTAGTCCACTTGTTATCCATATCAGGTTGTGCATGGACTGCTACAGATGTTGGTGCGATAAGTGATGATATTCTGATTAACCATACATCTAGAAAATGTTTGCCACTAACTCAAGCTTCTTGAGTGTTGAACCAAGCCCATCATTGTCAAGACTGGAGTCCAACCTGATCTGTCTAACAATTAACCTGGCCTAATGAGACCCAAAAACCAGGTATTTAGGGCAGTAGTACTCAGGTTGGTGCCAGTTGTCTTAAGACCGACTCCAAATTCCTGTCCCTGTGTCTGAATCAAGACTTGTCCCATCTCCTCTCTAGCCTTGACTTGGACTCCTGACCTTGGAAGAGAAAATGTGCAATGCTCTCATTTTCAGTGCGGTGTTTTAAACCCGTCTTTTAAGTTAGTGAGAGTGGATGTGTTCCTGCACTTCAATCAGATTTAAACTAACCTGGACTAAGACATCTATGAACAAAAGTACCCACACAGCCTTTGCATCTGTTTAAAAGGCGGTGTAAACTGTACAGGTGCACAAGGAAGCTGCAGAGACTGTCCTGAACAACTTTTTCAAATCTTTCTTCAAGGCTGAAATGGAAGATGTTTTTGTTTTAAGCTAACAAAATGCAAAGTAACTGGTTAGAAAGGAGAAATAATTTTATAGAAGAGATGTGGATAAAACTGCTCTGGGAATAGTTGTGTGCGAGGCTAATTGTGGGTTCTTCTGTTTTCCTTTTTCTTTTTCAACTCCCAATTCTCTTTTCTTTTTAATGCAACTGGGTGTATTCCATCAGCAAAGGTTCTTCGGGTAAATGGGCTATCGTTTATTAGACCAGCTAAATAGTTGGAAAAATAGTTCTTTGCAAGCTTTCGGGCACGAACACCCTTCTTCAGGCCCAGGGGGAAATCTGCTGGGGTTTTGCGCTCTTCTGGATGGAACAGAAAGGAGCAAACCATGCAAGGGATCATAGAAAAAAGTCATAAAAGGGCATGAATTGCACCAGGTTGATTGCCACGCACAAATGCAAAAAACATCGTTCTCATGTGTACACAGGGAGTATCCGTCACTGGCCATTTCACTTTATCATATTTCCCATTCATCGTTCTGTTGCACAGCAGAAAACTTTCTTTGCCTCTTGTGCGGCTGCTTCTGTTGCGCTTGGGGGGGGCCGTCATAGAGGACGGTCCGGTTGTCCTCTGTCCTCTAGCGATACTAAATTGGATGTCTTTATGTCTTTTTTTTTTTCTTTGGCTGTCCTCTGTCCTCTAGTGATACGAAACCAGATGCCTTTACGTCCTATTTTTCTCTTCGAGAGAACTGGGACTCTCCAGTTCATTTTTCTCTCTTCAAGAGAAAAATAGAGGACATAAAGGCGTCGGGTTTCATATCAATAGAGGACAGAGGACAACCGAAGAAAAAAATAAGACATTAAGGCGTCAGGTTTCATATCAATAGAGGACAACTGGACCGTCCTCTACAACAGCCACCCTAGTTGCACTCCCCTGCGTTACCTATACGTTACATTTCCACGTTGCTGAGTCCCAACGCGTGCTTGAGATGCAACATAATAGTAAATGGACAAATTCTGGTGAAATGAAGGAGCCGTGCGAATTGGCACATGCAGATCGATGGTTTCATATGAAAACGGCAGCTTGGAGGAAGGGCGAGCTAAAACCCGCTCTCCGTAACCCGCCGCAGGCTCGAACCATTGCCCATACTTGGGGGAAAAAAACCCCCCAAAATCGCAGGCGAACGCAGGGTGACGGCCGTCCCCCTGCCATCGCGAGAGACACGACAGCCAGCGTGCGACGCGGTTTGATTTCCACCGCGCCTGCATTTTTGTTCACTTTCGACGAGGGAAGGGGCGAGGGCGGTATGTGCACGCTTCCTCTCGTCCCAAAGGGTTAATGAATAAAAAAGGAAGTCAAAGGAGGGCATTCACATCCCTGTGCGTTGAAATGCCGCACGCTCGTATTCAACACCCCCGCCCACCCCCAGGTCTGGCTGGAGCAGCGCAGCTCGCCATCGCCCCCGCGCGCCCTTGGGTCCATTGCGCAGGCCGGGTAAACTGAGGCCGCGGCACTCACCGGATCCGGGCCGCCGTGGTGGCGTTGCCGGT